ATGTGCCGTTATTCCAACCGCAGAAGATGGGGATGCTCCAGTTGCACCATCCTCCATCACCAAATGATGTGGTCACAAAGCACAATGTCATGGAAGCGTGTTGCTTAACAATGGCAATTCCGGTATTGACATTGTAACCCAAGGACCATGGAGGTTGTTCAGCGAAATACCACAGGATTGCAACTTCCAACTTCCTGCCAGCTTTTCCATTGACTTTACTTATGGGAAGCCCATGGGGATGTCAGAAAGTGCAATCAGGTGACTATCAATCATGTGTTGCAATGACCAGAACTCTGAAGCCCAGTTGTATATTCAGCATTTATATACTTATTTGGGAACTGAGGCAAGATCAGGTAGAAGTACCTGAATTAGAATGAATCTGGCTGCTTTGATGTTACATATAATTATGATCTTTCTCTCTCTGTAAATATATATGTGTATGTATAAAATAGATAAAAACTCACGATCACCAGGAGAGTAGAAAGTTTAAAACTTTAATTTAATACCAAGCTTTCGCTGGGAGCTCCCAGCATCATCAGGGTTAACAAGCCAGTCTATGGGTGTGCCTTAAGTAAGGTTGTTTGGATTTACCCAGGAGTCACATCTTCAAGGATATTATTGAACATATGTGTATGTGTGTGTGTGTGTGTGTGTGTGTGTGTATTGCTAACAAAGAGTTGAAGGGACACTGGTATAGCTATTTCGAGCTAATTAGCTCTCATCAGCCAGCCATACCCTTCTGAGATTCGAACCTGGGCTGCTTGCACGTTAGGCAGCTCTGTTGACCCCGAGACTCTTTCTCACTTTGTCAGCTGTATCAGGGAGGGAAGAGACAGGGGAGGAGATATGTCTTGAGTGTTTTTTTTATGCATCCTGTCGACCCATATTTGGGCCAACAGGGTGCATCAAAAAAACACTCAAGACATATATATATATATATATAATATGTTAATGATGTTATTTGGTAACGTTGATAAATTTTGATTACCATATTACATTGCTTCTTTTCCTGTAAGATGGCTGAGAGTGGCATAAAAGCATTCTAAACAATACATAATGAATGAATAGTTTCCAAATTCAACATGAGACCATTCAGATATTTCCACTCACTTTTAGCTCAACTATCCATAAGCATATCCCATGTACCTCTTCCTGATCTGTTTGCTTATGTCAGGCACAAAGAATCAGGACCACCCATTAAGTTCCAGCTAAGCTAATTTATTGCTCATGCCTGTACACAAGAATCTAGTCAACTAACAGTCAGCACTAAATTGGAGCTAGATAAGAATTAACTGAATTCAAGAGGAATTGGACTTAGTCCAGGGTCCCCAACCTCTGAGCTGCAGCCCACTTGTGGGCCATGAAGTGTTTGCAACCAGCCCGTGGAAACAGTGGATGAGTGCGTACATGCGTGCTCTATTTGCATGAGTGACAGGCGGGCGTGTACAATGCTTGCGCAAATGAAGCTGCACGTGCTTGCCAGCCTCCCACGCAAAACCGTCCCTTCTCCCTCCCATCAGTCCGCAAAGCCAGAAAGGTTGGCGAACTCTTGACTTAGACTTTTTTCGAGAACATAATATCTCCAGGCTGATTCCTCTCTTGAATCCGCCCCCTGGCGCTGTCTGTCCTTCTCCTACCAGTTACCCTAGATCAGGGGTGCCAAACTCGCCACATCACGTGACGTGTCGCAATGTATCGCAACTTTTTCCCCATTGCCAGAGCTGGGGTGGGTGCAGTTTCAGCATGATGGATCCGGCCCACAGGCCGGCAGTTTGACACCCCTGCCCTAGATGAATTAGGACAAAGCACACTTATAATGGATTTTAAAACCTTTAGGTTGCAAATAGGTTGCAAATAGGCCTGTGTGTTTTTTTACCACAATTAAGGAAAGGAAAGTCACCATAACACCCTTGTTTTCAAAATCAGCTTTGGGGCACCTGATGTCTCATGTGATGTTGAGGCAGTTTTATGCCCCACATATTATTCAAGCATTATAGCAGTTCCTAGTTTTTTCCAGCTGTAAACAATATTAGAACATTCACTGACAGACTTGACGAAAGATTTATATGTGTGGGCATCAACAGTTTTCAAGGGCTTGTTGATACCTGTCACATTTCAAATGCTTTGCCTGAAATTGCAAACTTGCAACAGAAGAGTAATATTGCTAAATAAGTATACTGGATTTGAATTTGTTAAAAACAGAATATATATTACACTAATTATATGCTCTTGAAATATGCCGTTGGCTTGGACCACTGACATGCGATGCATACCCGATATGGAAATACTATTCCACAGCTGAACAAACAGCTCTTCTCTGGTTTGAATATTATAAATCATATTTGTCATAAGTTTTAACTGTGAGTCTAGTTGATGAAAGATTTGACCTGTGTTTGAGAGACCTGATCTGAATATTAGCTCAGTATGGATTTGTGGGTATGCTATTTCACTCTTATTTCTGGTGTTGAATCAATTTGTCATTGTAACTTGCTATGCAGGTTGAGCTCATTACAAATATGCTAATATTACCTCTGAATTTCTGTTAGTGGGAATGGCAGTGGTATCATGGGTGTACAGATCTGAAATAAAATCTGTTCATTCTAGCAACCATTGGGTTTTATTTAAAAAAAAATACAGCATTGTCTGTTCCTTATATACAAACACTGGATTGTTCATTCCCTACTTTGTTGGATGGAGAGGCCTGTATATTTAAAAAGGAAGTTATGTCAATGCAGAATGTTCTAGTTGGTTTTAGGGAAGGTTCAGCCAAGATACTTTTGATACGCTGACTTCATAAGAGCCTCAAGAAAGATAAGGATTGCACATAGCAACAGGCGCTTTTGCCTCATAAATTTAAAAGATCTACAGAGTGTCCTTGACTTATGATCACAGTTTAGCCCGACATTTCTGTTGCTAAGCAAGACATTTTGTTAAGTGAGTTTTGTCCCATTTTATGACCTTGCTTGCCACAAGTGAATCACTGCAGTAGTTAGTAGCATGGTTGTAAGTGAATCTGACTTCCCCATTGACTTGACTTGTCAGAAGGATGCAAAAGATGATCACGTGACCATGGGGATGCTGCGCCGCTCGTGTGAAAAATGCTCAGAAGTCACTTTTTTCAGGGCCGTTGTAACTTTGAACGAATGATTGTAAGTTGAGGACTACCTGCACCTTCAACAAGCAGAAAATAAATGCATTGGAGCTCATAAAATAGATATCGACCCTTCATGCAATGTCCATTGTTCTGTCTCTTATGTGTTTCAAAACATTTTATTTTATAGAGAAAGAGACCTTCTTGGACCCTTTTGTGTTAAGGGATCTCCTGCCAGCTTCTTTGGGAAGTTACTATCGGTATACAGGGTCACTGACTACACCTCCATGTAGCGAAATTGTGGAATGGATTGTTTTCCGAATGCCTGTCCCCATCTCTTATCGGCAGGTAGGTTGGTATTATAAACAGCTTGCCTGATTCATTATTTTCTTAGTTTTGTTTTGCTTTTCTTTTTAATTTAACCCATTTTTTTTCACCACATATGTGTGAGACTTCATCCCTCCACCCACCCAACATGGCCAGCAGGATTTTAGGAATTGAATCTGGAGTGTGCTGGATTGTAAAGGTTTAGTGGTCTAGTGTTTAAGGCACTAGGCCAGAAAGCAGGAGACCATGAGTTCTAGTCCCACCATAGGTATGAAAGCCAGCTGAGTGCCCTTGGGCCAGTCACTCTCTCTCCCAGTCCAACTCACCTCACAGGGCTGTTGTTGAAGGGAAAATAGGACAAGGAAGGTATCTTGGATCTGTTTGCCACCTTGAGTTATTTCTAAAAAAAAAATAGAAATAGGCAAGATACAAATAGATAAAATAAATAAAATATGCTGTAACCAGATTTCATTTCCTTTTCTTGGGAGAGTAGATAAGACCTTCCTCTGTCCCACAAAAAAAGCAAAATATATTCTTGATAGAAAAGGAAGCAATCTGATTTTGTTTTATTGTTCTTTGAAGCTCAACATCAGCCACTCCACACAAGAAGATAATAGAATGCGACATCTTATTTCCTTTTAAATGATTTTAGCTATTACTATTCTGTTCAGATATATTTAAACCATGGTATAAATATTTACACAGAATTTTTCATTCTTTTCCCATCTTCACATTTCTGCTCGAAAATTGTGCTAAGTCATTTTAGGCGTGTACAGACACAGATTTGATAGTTTGAGATAATTGCGCAGAGAAAGCAATGCTTTTGCTAATATACCGTCTTTGCCTATTTTGAGAACACCATGAAACTTGCATTGTGCTTACTCTGAAAAGGGTATACAGATCCTTACAAGGGTTTCATAGGAGGTCTTATTAGAGAACAGACACAACAGCACAAGTCAACAACCGATAATTTCAATGAGAGAAGTCCTAACGTAGAGAATATTTAACTGTTTAGCAATTAAAGAGGCAATGGCATTTAAAGTCTCAGTTTTAAAAAAAAAATTGTTATCACTTGTCCTGCCTCTTTTAGTTGCTAGTGTAAATACATTTCATTGCAACAAAGGCCTCTTGGTAGACAATAACTGTTCGTGGAAAAGTCACCAATTTACATGAATTGAATGAGTATAAATATTCAATAACCCACATGAATTAATTGAAAACATCAAGATGTCACCCATCCCACTACTTCTCAGTCAAGAAGGCACACCAAGTTCATATGTCTTCTTTGATTATTGTTCTTTCCTGATTTTTCTATCCAATGAGGTCAAACAGTGGCTTAAATCAAATCCACATATTTCACTATTTGTTCTCAGAGTTTACAATTATGACAATAGCAGTAGCACTTAGACCAGGGGTCCCCAACCTATGGGCCACAGCCCGGTAGTGGGCTGTGGCCTGCTGGTCACCGGGCCACAGGACAGGCTGGCCAGTGCATGCACGTTTGTTTGCACACCCCCTCACTTGTTCTAGTGCCGTGGCCACAGGGCGCAAGAACAGGATGCCACAAAAACGGACCACCGCCATGCCTCAGGGAATGAAAACGGACTATCGTCGTGCCATGGGGCACAAAAATGAGGTGCTGCCTCACTGCGGGGTGCAGAAACAAGGCGCTGCGTCAAGCAAGAACAGGGCAGGGCTAGTGGCACTAGCCCCACCCTGTTTGCGTACTTGTGTAAAATGCTTCCCCCTCCCTTTTCCTTCAGTCCGCCAATCGAGAAAGGTTAGTGACCTCTGACTTAGACCATTGCACAGTGCTTTTCAGCACTCTCTAAGTGGCTTGCAGAGGCAACTTGAGAGGACCTGTGTCCAAATCTCTGCAGTACTTAAGACATGCAGGCTAAGACACTAGGCAAGGTTATTGGGAGAATAAAAGAGAAGGAAAGAAAATATATGTATATGTGTATACAATAGCACTTAGACTTATATACCGCTTCACAGTGCTTTACTGCTCTCTCTAAGTGGTTTACAGAGTCAGCATATTGCCCCCAGCAATCTGGGTCCTCATTTTACCAATCTTGGAAGGATGGGAGGCTGAGTCAACCTTGAGCCAGTCAGGATCGAATTCCTGGCTGTGGGCAGAGTCAGCCTGCAATACTGCATCCGAACTACTGTGCCACCAAGATTCCTTGGTTATGGTTCAAATATTATGATATTTGTAATGTTTTTTGGGTTATTCTTAGAAGTGAATAACTGTGAGATGCCTTTATAGTATGTTATTCTAGTAGTGTCAAAGGAGTATTATTATTATTATTGGCAGGTTAAATCAATATATTGCAGGTTGAAGGCTTTAATTGAAGAATAGGGCCCATAATGTACCATACAGTCCAGTGTGGGTCAATAAATAGGTATTTTTTAATTTCCCAGTCTAGGGCAAAGAGAGACTTGGTTCCAAGTTACCCTGCTGATCCCCAAGCATAAGGAGAGGATGGGAATCTGGGTCTCTGCTCATAATCCAGCACCTTAAGCACTAGATCACACTGGCTTTTTAAATGTCCCCAAATGTCTGACATTATAGCAGTTTCACTAATGCAGTGACAAATTCACAAATCACATGTGGCCTAGTGGATCTCTCTAGCAACATTTGCTAAATCAACTCAAGTAAACTTTAGAAAGACAGAGGTGGTGGAACATTGATAGCAAAAGATTAAACTTGCCAAGTCCTTTCTGTATGTAATAGTGTGCTCAAAATTAAATTTAGTTTAGTGTAAATTAATGAAATATCTCTAATATAACCATTTTATGTCCTTAATAACTGTTTCCTTGTGCAGCTTTAAAAATTAAAAATTTGTTCACACTCCTGGATCTATGTACTCACTTTTGTAGGCTACCTGTCCCTAAGATTATGCATCTTTGCTATAAAACTACATCTACAGTGTCTTTTTTGCCTTCTTTCTGTTGAACAAAAGATTCCCTGCTCCTTGACTATCATGCTGAAGGTCTCTTTAAATGATATTTTGAATTAAATTCCTTAAATGATCATTTGAATCAAATTCTTATAAGGATGGGGTTCAATTATCTCCCTAGGCTGCGTTATAGCTAGAATATATCTACATAATCAAGGTATTTAAGTCAAGGTAAGGAGATTCATCTGCTTGTCATAAAAAGCAGACTCATTTGGGATTCCTGCTTTACAAGAACATTATCCAAAAGAGAAATATTATTTAAGAAAACAAGAAAAAACTGGAAGAAAGGGAGACATAGTTCATCCCTTGTGAGACAGGATGGCATACCTCAGTTTTTCTCTGTCTGCTAGACTCCTTCTCATTTTAGAAACTATGTTTTTACAAAAATGTTTCTATTTCTGCGGCTGCAGCCAAAACGTCAGCATTTTTATAGAAAGTATTTTACAAAGTGGAGTGTGCCAATCTGAACATGCCTTTAATGTGCCAATTTTTCTAAAATGCATCCTACTTACTAGTTTTTGGACTGTGGCCTTCATTCTAGAAAATGTTAAATACTCTTGGCTGAAAATAAGAGGAAACTTGATAGACAAAAGTTCTATTTTTACTCCAGCTGTGGCTTCTGCTTGCAGACAAAACGTACGCAGGTAGATTTCTTTCCCAGCCCTTCTTTTTATTTCCCCCCCCCCTTGCACATTTTTGTCATTTAGAGCACGTTTCCCAACCTTGTTAATTTAAAATTTGTGGAAGTCAACATCATGCTGGCTGGAGAAACCTGGGCATTGAAGTCCAAACATCTTAAAGTTGCCAAGGTTGAGAAACACTGATTTAGAGCTAAGCTACCTTGTTTTTTTGTTTTTGTTTTTACAGTATGGATAGCCTGCAACATCATGGGTATGGGATTTGCTGTAAAGAAGAGATGGGAATATGGGAATATGTCATACCATGAGCTGTGATTGATGTTACTTTGGAATGATTGGCATTCCATTACTATTACTTTGGCAGAGTAATAGTAATAGTAAAATAAAAACACAACACAATATAAAATAAAACAGAGACAGAGAGCAATATATATATCTTGAAGCCTCTATAGTAAGGAGAGGCTAGGAAATAATCTTTTCCTTGACTCTCTTTGACATTAACTTTCTAGAGTGTGTTCTTGGCTGCCTGGCAGAATAGCAATGAGGCTAGATAAGGCTGCTGGCAGGGAGTTCGGTGGGCAGACGTTTTCCTGTTTGATTTATCAGTCTTGGCATCAGAACTTCCTGCCATTTTGTGTTATTATCAGCTGCCCACATTTCACCACATTGTTTTTCTAATTAATGTCTTTTTTCTCCTCCTTTCCCCTTATCCTGATCGTGGCTTTCAGCTGGAAGCCTTCTATTCCATATTTACCACGGAACAGCAAGATCATGTCAAATCTGTGGAATACCTACGGAATAACTTCCGGCCTCAGCAACGCCTGAACAACAGAATTGTTTCCAAGTCAGCTGTGAAGGATGCTTGGAACCAACTTTCAACCAGCATGTTTGAAAATCCACTGGGCACTGAAGCCTCCAAAGGTACAGTGACTTTGTCCATTGAGGATCTGGGGAAGCACCATCACTTTAGGGCAGGGGGACAGGGAATGATGGCCCTTTCGTGACTTGTGGACTTCAACTCCCAGAATTCCTAGGCCAGCATGTTTGTGTACATGGAGTGATCAGGGAAGCATGGCCAGGAAAGCACAGGTAATCATTAGGCTTTTGATCAATATACTTTGTTTTCAACACATTTCACATCATTCATATAGCAGTGCTCGGGAATCTTGTTTAGCCACTGCCTCATTTAGCGACCATGTATAGCTACAGTTGTGATGGAAAAAATAACTTTGCAACCAATTGTCACATCTACAACCTTTGCAGATCTGTAAAGCAAAAGAAACCTGAAGTAAGACTGTAAACACAGTGGAGATTTTGCTTAGTGTCTGATTTGTTTAATGACCAAGTTGCCAGTCTCAACTGGCACTAAACAAGGACTGATACATACAGATGAACTAGTAATAAATCCCACGAGGGATTCACACACGCAAACACATACACACTGGTCATGCTTTTTTCCAATGAATTGCCCCTCTTCCCATGCTTGTGTACAAATTTTTTTTATGTTATATAAATTTGATGGCTTGACGGTTCAGATGGGGAAAAAAACACACAACAGCAAAAATTAAAGTTACCGTTCCTGAGACAGTTTCTGTTTTATCGCTACCAATCATTTTGTTGAAACTGCAGACTTTTTTTTGCCGCAGGGCAGGGAGGCCAGGCACTTTTGTGAAAATATCGAAAAGCAGAGTTTTTAGAACACCTTTTAACTTTACTGTGTTTTCATGATGCTGTTGCATTAAACTGCCTGCTCTCTCTAGGAGGCCTTTTGTGTGCAACAAAAATGCTAGAGAGACATGAATCCCCATTTAATCAGTTCACAAATTTTACATACATCCTGCTTTTTCAGCTAAGGTGGGTCCCAAAGTATCTATTAAAAACCTGAATATGCTCAAATTCTGTAGTGCTGGAGTAGGTTGGCTCAATACAGCTTTAAAGGCATTATTGTTAGACCTGCATGGTAGTCCAGGCAAGAAGCACGACCCGGTCTTTAGTGTAAGGTTACCTTAACAGAATAAATAAATATATGGCACTTCTCAGGCCCCTTAATGACAGCGTGGTGGTGGCAGATTGGAATGGGCTTTGTAACATTATCAGAAAACATGAATATTTATTGCTGGTGTGTTGGCCGCCTATGGGCCTCCATGAAAGGTAATAGCTTGCATTAGAATAAAATAGCAAATTGGACTTGTTTTTTTTTATTTTCAGAGCAACCCTTAGAAAGATATTGCATAGAATTACAAAGGTTTCCCTGCTTTGAATGAGTACCTGTAATATTTCCCATGTTAATAACTGCTGCGGAAATGTTACGGCACCCTTATGTAGAGTGTTTTATTTATTTTTTTGGGCATCTGGGCTCAGTAGGAATGGTTCTGAATTCTTTACCCAAAATAAAAAGTAGCTCCATAGAATTATATCCTATCGAGAGCAAAGATTACAAGCCAACTTTTGGCATTGTAGAAATAAATGGATAAATAATATGGGGTAATACATCGAGAAATTTAAATAATTTTGGTTTATGGGTTAGCATTACACCTAAAAAACAATGAAGTGGCTAATTCAGCAAATGATTTTCTTACAGCTTATTATGTATAAACCTAGGTAGTTTTTTCTTGGTTTGTGGCATTGGCTACAAGATAACAAGGGAGTATCTGTAGCTCTCCAGATATTGTTGAACTACAATTCCCAGGATCCTCATCACAGATCATGTTGTCTGGGGTTGGTGAAAGCTATAGAATAGAAATAGAAATAGAAATAGAAATAGAAATAGAAATAGCAATAGCATAGCATAGCATAGCATAGCATAGCATAGCATAGCATAGCATAGAATAGAATAGAATAGAATAGAATAGAATAGAATAGAATAGAATAGAATAGAACAACAGAGTTGGAAGGGACCTTGGAGGTCTTCTAGTCCAACGCCCTGCTCAGGCAGGAAACCCTATACAAGGGGTGTCAAACTGCCACCCCATTGCCGGCAATGGGAAAAAAAGTCACGATATGTTGCGACATGTCACGTGACGTTGCAAGTTTGACACCCGTGCCCTATACCATTTCAGACAAATGGTTGTCCAGTCTCTTCTTAAAAACCTTCAGTGTTGAGCACTCACAATTTCTGGAGGCAAGTTGTTCCACTGATTAATTGTTCTGACAGGATTTGTTTTTCCTTAGTTCTAGGTTGCTTCTCTCCTTGATTAGTTTCCATCCATTACTTCTTGTCTTGCCTTCAGGTGCTTTGGAGAATAGGCTGATCATTAGAACACAGTACTGAGCTACTGCTAAGGTTGCTTTCTGTAATGGTATGTAAGAATGGCCTTGCAGAAAGGACGAATAGCTGCAGTCTTGAGAATGGTCTGATAAACAAAATTTGAATCGGAAGAAGGAACAGCAACAAAGTGGATGGACTCAGTTACAATGATGATGGATGTATCATTGGAAGACCTAAAGGGCTTGGGGAGCCTAGATTGTCACTGAGAATTGACCCCATCTTGATGACACACAATTAATCAATTAATTAAAGCAAGTGCATTTGCATTTTTCTATTTTCCACATTTGTATTTTATGCTTCTTCCCAAAATGTGGGATAGGTATATTTAAACTATTGTACTTTAATTTTTTCCTCAATAAAAGCTTGAGCTGACAGACACCAATGGCACCAGTGTAGAAAGGAACATATATCAGACACTACTAAGGGATTAATGTGTCTTCCCACTTGATGAGATTGCACAGATTAAGATATATGGCAGGAAAATAGTTAATTAAAACAAAAGAAAAGCAAAATTGTGATAGGCAACTTTGCTCCATTATAATGATCCAGATCTCTTCAATTTAAGACTTGCTCTGTTTCCTGTATTGGCTGTCTAAACTAAAATCCCTGACTTGAATTGTAAAATTCCTGGGCAAATTCCCTTTGATTCATATTCTCTATGTGTGGAGCATTAAGTAGCTGGCTAATTGTATTCAGTACAAAGCTATTTCTTAAGGTCTGATATAGGCAAAACACTTTTGTGTGGTTAAGATTATTGACCCCTCTGGATGATTGCCGTGAGGCCATGAAGTTAGCAATCATAAATACATTGCACACTGTTTCCAATATAATTGTGCAGCTCAGCCTGAAAGAGACACCAGTTCATTGTATATTTCATTTCATTTGAGAATTTCTGGATGAGAATTCTGCAAAAAGGTTCACAGTAGGACTCATTAAAAGACTTTTCTCCCCTTTAAAATAGTACTGACTCCATTATTATAGCAAAATTATTAGCCAGGATGTGTTCTTGTGCCTATATTGATGAACCTGGACTAGATGGCTCTATAAAAAGATTCATTCCCTGAGCTATTCTTTGTTCCAGCTACTGTTTATGTCACCATGGATTGGATGGCAGTGAGAACTCTTTCAAAATCTCGGCTTATGTCAAAATGGATTCAGTGCTTGAGTAATGCTTATAGGAGAGCATGACAAAGGTTTATGATGTCAAAACTATCTTTAATGAAGCCAAAATTGGAATGTGAATCCACCCAGAGGTCTGGTCTAAGACTGCTGGTTTTTCAACTTTGGTTTTGATTGGAGCTAACTTTACATCTCATGATTCATTAACTGAATTTAACTAGCATTTGCTATTATCCTTTCCTCCTGGTCAGTGAAAACAATCATTGTAAAGTACCGGTATTTCTTCTAACAGCTTGCAGGTATTCTGGCTTTCAGTGGGCTGAATAAGATAATGATTGTTTATTTTAAGCTTGTTCCTCCTTTGGGGTCTGTTTGAAGCTAAAACTGGGCCTATAGTGACAAATGCCATGCACCTCTCCAGCTTGTCTAGTGCTAAGTGGGAAACAATGCTTGGTACATTTTTACAGACTAAAAAAAAAAATAACAACCCACCTCTCTTCTAGTGTAACCAATCTAAAATGAATGGCCATACAACACTCTAAAGGTGACAGAGCTGACTTAAATTTCTTGCTGAGAAACAGCAAGGTGATGCTTTCCAGCACTTGCTTCAAGCAAAGGTGATGAAGAATAAAATAGCTGATCAGCTGAATGGTGTGAACTACTGTCATGAAAAATTAAATAACTGGAAGTTGGGATCCACGAATGGTGTTTCAAGCTGGATATTCTGGGACTAAATCTCGGCATTGAAATAGCTGTTCCTGTAGATTATTTCAGAAACAGCCCTCCATGAGTGATGATCATACCTTGACAAAACTGGGCCCTATTTTGTTTGCCCCCACTGTTCCTGGGAATAATTTGTACCATTTACATAGCTCTGTGCCAAATTGTTGTTGTTGTTGTCCTCTCAGTAATCATATCCTCTTTTTTATTGCTTGTTTTTGCAGCCTGTGATATTATATTTTGACAGTTTTATATGGGGCATGTTATGGTGCTACACAGTTCTTCTCCATACGGCTATATATTGCAACGATTAAACAGAGATTTGAAGAGTGATTAGTCTTCCAGTTAGCTCCATTTTAATTATCTCCTTTCTTGTCTGTTCAGTTGTTCCAGGGTATCAGGATATCCAGTGTTTCATGCTCTGTTTCAGCTTACCCAAGAAGTAGCCTCTTAATTAGGAGCAAAATGCATTTGGGTGAACGAGAGAGATTGGACGTCTTTCAATAACCTATTAACCCATGGTTTATTCATTTATTTATTTATTTCTCTGGTCGGTTGGGTCTAGTCAACCCACTGAACTATACATCCATTACCGAGCTTGTATTCACAAAATACACTGAGTCACACATTAGCTAATCACATTTTATTGTAGCTGCAGGTCAAAACTAAGTTCCAAAACAGAGACTCATAAATCATACATGAAATTAATTATCAACCTTATCCTCTTGGTTTTCAGTAGTCTCATGTAACATTTTGGCATTCAGCCACAATTTGATTTCATCAAATCAATAAAAAAACTCTTTTGCTGACGCCT